CAAGGGTCTCATACTGATGTCCATCAGTCATTTACATACATTTAAACGCAAGTAAGTGACTGCGCATTGGTCTATAATATCATCACGTTATCGACATACCTCAATCGTTAAACGAAACTCAGAAATTCAATGTTTTGATAAAGGTGACGTATTTTATTCACAGAGAGAATCTTATTAATATGCCACATGGTGGAATTAGTCAGGAAGAAAACAGGATGTGCTTGTGAAATTTCCATCAATTTAAATTAGTGACTGTTGATGCCAAGTTGACATGTGCCGATTTAATCACATTGCCATAATTATCACGACGAAATCGCCAGACGAAGATGCCAACATTGAAATTGATACTTATGACGAAAATTCCATATTTTGCACACGAAGAGCTTTCGATCGACGTATAGCACAAGAGGTTAAATCAAGTAATTGATACAGATGACCACCTGAAATCATATTAATTCAGACTCATGATCAAATAACAGCGGACTGACTTAGCGACCAGGCACAATCTGCAGGTTGGAATCAAAATATTATGAAATTATCAACATTCATAACTTGACAACGGCATCGCCTTTGACGATGGCATCCTTTACAATGGACGAAGTCAAACAGTTTATACAGTTGACCATATGCCAGTGACATGAATTCAAACTCCTAACCGCAGACTACATGCTGACGTATTGACATTGTAAGCCGTCACAACATAATTGTAATAGGAAATTCACTAGTTTGACAACGGTATCGTACTTCTCTCACAGAGAACTATCCAATGACATATAACATGTGATTGACTGAATCGCGCAATTGATACAGCTGACCACTGTCCAGTTATGCAAATTCAATGACTCGATGGTAGGACCGAGCGGTTACGCTAACCAGCGGTCTGCGTCAAAACCTCACTGACCGTCAGATTTGCTCTCCCCTCCCCACATACCATCAATTTCTGAAGAAATATGACGTAAAATTTTGCATCAGGTCGCCTATCGTCTGGATAAAAATAGAGGAAAATTTGTCACCGTTGAAATGTGTGCCTTTCTCACGCTTTCACGATGCGGCCATTCGGACGCCTTTCTTTTCATTCAGTTGATGTTGACGGCGCTGATCTCTGATTCCATAAGTCATAGAGTCACTAGTGTCTACGGATAGTGGTTCATCGGCAGGTGTCTGGGTGCTCGAATACCGTGAATCCATGCCTGCTTCAATGGCCCCCTAAGTCGCAAGAACAACGGAACTGTGCCATTAGGTCGTTTGTCCCCGTTATCAAAAGAGAAAACGTTATTTCTCTTAGCAGCGGTATCGAAAACTAGCAGTGTGCTATTAAACTCATATGATCGGGTCTGTTTTTCTGTATCTGCATGATTTTGTTTTAAATATCTTTAAGCTTATAGATGTGAAAAAGGAAAA